GGAAGCCACACGGCAGCCCGGTGAGCCAGAGCTCACGCATCCAGCGATGTTCCGGCGCACCGACCGACCTGTAGGTCACGGCACCTCATCTAGCTACACACTGCAAACTAGTTGGCCAGTGCGGTCTTATAATACAATTACTCAATCCGCTTGGCAGCGTGGGTAATGTGAGGAAGCCCGACGCCCACTGGCATTGGTTTCAATGTGACACGCATTTCTGACACCAGGGGTGTGTCACAATCTAACCGTGATGAAAACGCACGTTATAATAAGCGTGCGAACACTGGATCCTCTTCACGCCTGCCAAGCATCAAGCCGAAGCGTGGCTCATGCTTGGGAAGAGTAAATCCTAAGCGTGGAAAATTACCCCGCTTAGAGCAAGCGTGTAAAAAAGTTGCAAGAGTCATGCTAGCGCGAAAATTTTTAGCGTGTACGGCAGGTGTTCCCATGGAATAGTAATCGGATATTGCTGGCGGCCGCACGCCGTGTGGACCGTGCGCCAGACAGGCTGTGAACCGCGGTTGGGTCACAGAAAAGCCTTCACCGAGCACCCCTGACGGCAAAGCGACGCACTTCGTCAGCGAGAGCCCCTTCCATAGGGAGCCATTCTGCAAACAGGTCAAGATTACAGTACTCTAATATACTAAGCTAGCCCACTTAAAATCGAAAACAAATAGAGTGAAAAAAAGGAGTGGGCCAACTTTTGGTGTGCGATCCAAAAAATTTGAAGAAGGTGCTAGTTTTAGATTTTGTGACCTGCGAAACTTGCGACTGCAGGGAGGGGCGATGAACCAAAGACCTCTGTCCTTCGCAGTCAGCAATATTTGCTTATCTCCAGCCCCGGCTAAGTAACTGCACATCCGCTGAGGTTGCCATTGACCAGGGCCCTGCAATTAGTAAACGTGGACTATACTTTGGTGTTTCTTAAAAAAAAATAGTGAATCGTGCCAAAAATAGGGGGCGGGTTATCTTTCGGCGCTGGGGCGTCTCTCGGGATTTTACAACAGGTTGTGCTCGTGCTTCGGCCTCGCTCGCACATAAAGTGAAATAAAGTACAGCCCAGTTTATTCCCTCCAGAAGCCACGCCAGCCGTGCAGCTCACATTGCCAGAACCCAGATGAAGAAACGGACGTCTCCGAGAAGATACAGTGGTGGAAAGAGCCAACGAAGCCACAGGGGCGTGCGGTCTCGAGCTACATGCGAGCTGGGCTGCTAGGTCGGTTGCGAGATTAATGGCTATCTGACCTCGCTATGTTTGATATGAAACAGGACCGCGCTATCGGACGTAGCAAGGCCGGATAGCCAGACAATAATAGCTGCTAATCTTGCACAAGGGCTCACTGTTCCTGTGCTTCCTCTTGCTGCCAGCATGATTCATGCGCGTAGCTCGAGACCACACTCCTCTAGCTTCCTTAGCTCTTTCCATCACTTACATGATACGTGAAGCCATTATAGCACCGTTTTTAATGCCATGAATCTGAATAAACGCCTCCGTAACTGACCAATATTTTTCACTATGTAACTGAGAAATGTTCTAGGCTATTTAGTGCATACGAATTATTCGTGATATTTGCTTTATGGTGTATTCGCACGACGGAGTTTCTTCCCGAGGAGAAAGATAAACGTCATTGAGTTTTGAGGTCACGTGCTCCGCGTCACGAATGTTCGCTGATCCCCCAAGCTCGCGGCGTGCTCGCGGGGTCCCGAGGAGAATCTGTGACAGGCCTAGAGAATCTCCGCCGTTCCATCGGTATCCGTCGAAGCGGTCGGGCCCCCTCTTTTGTCCCCCTGCTTTTGGGGAGGGGTAATGACAAACAGCTTTGAAGTGTGGGGTGCCTTTCTTTATTTTTTGCTTTCCTTTTTGTTCGATGAGCTTCCGAAAGTCGCCAGCAGGCTTGAAGTGTGGGGTGTCTTTTGCTTATTATTCTTTCCCTGATTTTTGTTCAATGAGCCCCCGAAAGTCACCAACAGGTTTGCGAAAAGAAAGACTCTGGCGACCCAACTACGAGACTCCGTGGTGCGAATGCTCGCTTGGATTTTCTCCACTTCCTCCTCATTCTCGTGCCGTTTCCTTCTCTCAGTTCTATGATGTACTCGGCTTTCTCCGGGGATAAATATCTCTCGTGCGAATACACCATTATAATTGAGTGCAGGGAGAAAATGCGCTCTCTTTTTTTCCATAAAAATGCTTTCCCAGAAGACAATTTCAGACTGGCTGCCGGCTGACAGTCCTTAAATTTGAAACCGCACACTATCGCCCGTTGGACTTCTAGGGTACAGTCAGCAGCAAAAGTTTGTGGGGCAAGGGAGCGCCAGCCAAAATGACAGGCTGCTCTTTCTGACGGCGCATTGCCGCTCTCAAGACTCAAGCTTCGCGCATGCGATTCCTTTTGTGTACGCAGTCATGTTGTTTTGCTCACTTCCGGTGTTTACGTCCGACGGGCACGAGATAACAGGGACTGGCGCATGGTGCCACGAAATGTTATCGGTATATGTATTATGCGAGCTTCGTTAAGACCTGTCCAAACAGGACACTACAAAAATCGTCAGGCAACACGACTCCTGAAAAAATCGTCAAAAATTGCAGCAGGTGCTTCAATTTGGACAATTTTTGCAGGAGTCGTGTCGCCGGACGATTGTTGTGGCCAAGCCAACATCATGACTTTTCTCGCCTCCACTTTTTTTTGACGTCGGTGCTCGTCAGATTTGACGTTACACGCCACCTGCCAATTGGGACTTGAAAAGAGGCGGAGGCGTTCAGCGATCGACCGACAGCCAACAGAGCGTGTGAGTGGCTCTCCGGACCCACGCGATGAGCAGATCAAAGCCGCCGTGGAGGGCACGGGCGAGACTTGACAGGGAAGAAGTTTCCCCCCGGCAAAGAAAAAACAGCCGGAAGCGGAGCGCCGAACGATTTGTTGGAGTCGTGACGATTTTTGTAGTGTCCTCTTTGGACAGGCCTCTTCACCCAGCACGGTGGCTAAGTTAGACGTGCGGTATGACGGTTGCCAAAGCGGCAGCGGTCTCAATTATCTCGTGCGCGTCGGACGGAAGCGAGTAAAGAAGACGTGACTGCGAGCACGAAAGGAAGCACATTCCCGAAGCGTGAGTCTGAGCGCCGTCAAAAAGCGCTACCAGTCATTTCGGCTGGCGCTCCCGCGCCCCGTAAACTTTTGCTGCCGACTGTGCATACACTGAGATAAAACACTATGGCCGGTGCACGGGCAGAACCCAAATAATAAAAAAAAAAAAGAAAAAAAACTGACGTTTTCGTGAAGGCTCATAAACGCGTACCCCCCCCCCCCCCCCCCCCCCCCCCCCACACACACACACACGATAATAATAAATAAAAACGCACGTTATTTAGGTGAGCGAGTTGTGATTTATGGTAATCTCGGCCAGACCGCTCCGCTCGTGTTCGGAAGTATGTGAGGCACTCACCTGTGTGACTGAACAATTGGCAGGGACTTACCTTGAGCAGTTTACTCACCTAGGCACTCCGCGTCAGGAGACTCTTTGTAAACCTGAAAAGCAGCTCAACTCGAGAAACGAACGACACCACTTTCCGTCTCACACTCCGGTTGATCTTCCTTTGCTAAAACACACCTCCAACGGTATCTGTGTGTAGCCCGTGTCTGTCACCGTTGTCCGCGCCGCTGTATCAATCCGCAAACTCTGCAGGCAAAACGGGCAAAACAAAAGCAGAAAAGCGTGCCTTGCGAACTCCACGCCACTCCACGCATCCAACGTATCCGTGATCCGCTGGTTCCGCGGTTCCGCCAGTTCCGCCTTCAGCGCCAGCTCGCTCGCTTCCGCAGTGCTTTTGTTGCGCGTGCCTGTCGTGTTCTATTCACACTTTTGTGAGCAAGGGCCAGCGTGCCCGGCTCGCAACCGGAAGGGTCGTGGGTTCGAATCCCGCTTAAAATTTTTGTAATGTGAAATAATTTGAGACATGCATCACTTTCATTCCACGCGTGACGTAACGTTTCATGTGAGCGTTGTGGGTTGTTCGAAATTCCCGCGCAAGGTAATCTGACGCGGGCGGGCACTACAGTCCGTGCTAAAATGTAGTCCACAAATTTTACCAAAGCACGGGTGCGCGCCTCTCCGCTCCAGACCGGCCGTGACGTGACCACCGTGACCACAGCAACAAGAGCACGAAAAGAACAAGGTGTGATTGGAAAGTTTGACGGCTTGCCCTGCGACAACTTTTCTTGCCAATGCATACAGGCACGCGTTTCCTCTCTCATTTTGAGCGCTGAGTGGCGCTGAAACACGTAAACCACCCTAGGGATGACGCATCTAACCAATATCTAACCGCCCAATTCACAGGGTTTTGTTTTTCTTTATTTTTATTGTTATATATAGAATATAGTTTAAGTATTTTTAAAGTTTTTAATATTTTGTCCGTATGTTTTCTGCTTTTGAGACGGTGCGCGACGTGCGCGAGGAGCCCGAGGAGCAGTATAACACAGGCGAATGACGTTTCAGCGAAGAGCGCCATTTGAGCGAATCGACGTTCTAGCGAATAACGGAAGCGCGTGATAAACCCTTAACCCCCCTCCCTCCTGCTGCGCTTACGCCGCTTCGCGGCGGCCGTTCATACCCTGCCTTGCTCCGTTCAGCACGGATAGGACTATCGTCGATAATCACGAAGTTTCCGTGCAACAGCGATAAAAACACTGCGTCAACTGAACGTTTACGTGGTTTATTAGCATGTCCAATACAAACGAAATACGCTCCAAGATATTTTCCCAACAGCGCCCGAGCTGGGAGCGAAATTCGAACGAGATATGTGTCTTACCTTGAGCACTCTTCATTAATGAAAGCGAGGAAACCGCAAACCGACGTCTCAGGCGACGCAACCTCTTCCGCCATTGTTTGTTTTTCTCTTTGAGCCATCTTTGAGCACCGGGACAGGGGAACTTCGTCAGCGACCCGGAATCACGTCATACCAGTCATACCACGCCCTTTTCACTCCTCAGTGCACTCACTGCCAGTGAGTGCACTGAGGAGTGAAAAGGGCGTGGTATGACTGGTATGACGTGATTCCGGGTCGCTGACGAAGTTCCCCTGTCCCGGTGCTCAAAGATGGCTCAAAGAGAAAAACAAACAATGGCGGAAGAGGTTGCGTCGCCTGAGACGTCGGTTTGCGGTTTCCTCGCTTTCATTAATGAAGAGTGCTCAAGGTAAGACACATATCTCGTTCGAATTTCGCTCCCAGCTCGGGCGCTGTTGGGAAAATATCTTGGAGCGTATTTCGTTTGTATTGGACATGCTAATAAACCACGTAAACGTTCAGTTGACGCAGTGTTTTTATCGCTGTTGCACGGAAACTTCGTGATTATCGACGATAGTCCTATCCGTGCTGAACGGAGCAAGGCAGGGTATGAACGGCCGCCGCGAAGCGGCGTAAGCGCAGCAGGAGGGAGGGGGGTTAAGGGTTTATCACGCGCTTCCGTTATTCGCTAGAACGTCGATTCGCTCAAATGGCGCTCTTCGCTGAAACGTCATTCGCCTGTGTTATATGGACCCCGATTCGCTCAAATGACCGCTGTTCGCTTAAGCGGCATTCGCTCATGTGATATGGGCCCAAAAGAGCGTGACTTCAGTGCGCGGTTGAACACTCACTCAGAACATGATCCCGATTAATGTTCTGTTGGTGTAGCTAAATTAGGGTGTATACGAGTATGAGACGTTGGCTGACACTCGCTTCGGCCGACAAAACCTGTGATCACTAAGGCCCGCTTCATATGGGGAAATAATTATCATAGCAACTTGTTGTTGCAACAATGGCACTCAGTTGGTCGAGCAACGTTTCAGCGAACCCCGACCTTTCATCAAAAGTGGTTGGTTGCTGCAAATTGGCGTTTACGGGTTGCTGTCTGCTTCAATCCGCCACAGACTGCCGCCACGAAGTGGCGTGAACGCAGTGGGATTTGTCAACCACCAACCCCGTTATTCGCTAAAACGTCGATTCGCACAAATGACGTTAAAACGTCATTCGCTCATGTGCTCATTTGCTAAAACGTCGATGCACTCAAATGACGCTAAATTGTCATTCGCTCATGTGATATGGACCACATTGAGAATACAAACTCATCTTTCTGAAACGGTTTATTCCCAAAAACAATTTCAAATCAGAACCAAGTCTTTAGTTATCATCATCATCATCATCAGCACGGGATGTCACATGAAAATATCTGCTGCCATTTCAAACGTGTCCGAGTTGCTTGTCTGTTTAGGCCCGCTTCAGACAGGGCAACTTTTCCAGCAATTTTGAGGTTGCCGGCGGGATGTTCCCTAGCTTTCCCTAGATCGACTCGAATTGCTGAGATCGGGTCCGGCTCGAAAAAGCGAGCAACTCGGAGCAATTCGAAGACAGTTGAAGCGGCTGCAGCCAATCAGAGACGCAATATTTTCATGTGACACCCCTGTGGTGGTGATGATGACAGCTAAAGACTTAGTTCTGGTTTGGAATGGATCGTTTTCGGAAATAAACAGTTTCAGAAAAATGAGTTATTATTCTCAACGCCGTTCAAAGATATAAGAATGCGTTTTTAGCGCGTAGCTGGGCGTTTAGATAGTGAAAGAAGAATCAAATTTAATGATGATGATGTCAAGTCGTAGCAATTCGGTTGCTGCGTGTGAATGCGGGCGGCCGGTGTTGCTGGTGTTGCGACGTCAAGTTGCTGGGTGAAATTGCTCCGTCTGAAGCGGGCCTTACGGACACGATCCGAGCAATTTGTGTTGTACTAGGGAAGCTAGGGAACAACTTGCCAGCAACACCGAAATTGCTGGAAAAGTTGCCCCGTCTGAAGCGGGCCTAAGCGCAGCCGACTTCTTTTGAATATATATGAATACATTTCATAAAAAGTTTGTAAAGAAGTGCAGAACAAAAGTATGGCCGTATAAAAATATCTTAAGCGGCAGCATAGATTCACCAAGCTACATATTTTGAGTGTGTTGACGTTTTTGTCGGTTTTTATAACATTAGCAGCCTTAGCACCGCCTTCGAAGGGCTCTGTCTCTTTGGATCGCTTTGAACAGCAGCGCTGATGTCTACAGTCACTAGATTTTTCCCTAACTACCATGTCGAGACTTCTTCAATACCGGCGTCAAAAAAGTGATCTTGCTCAGTGTCGTCTGCTTTCATTGTGTTCAAAACCTTCTGCCTCAGGGGGAGGAAGTGGAAACTGCATAGGATCAGCTGAAGAGCCACGCTTTCCCTTTTTTTGTTGTTTAGTAGGCACTCCGAGAAGTCCGACTCGAGTTACTCCATTCGGAACTGAGAGAGCTGCTACTGTTCGGTTTTCTTATTTAGGGAATGCTCGAGTAACCGTTTTCGGTAATTCTACGTCTGACTTAGTCTGCCTTATGTATGCGACTGAAAGTGCTGCAGCCAATTTGCAAGTTAGAGCATACCTGCCCGAAATACCGGAATAAGTTTCAGACAGACCGTAGAAAACAGTTTGGGCTGAGAGATAGCACGAGGGTGTTGCCCTGAACGATGCTTCCACTGCACGAGTGCGTGTGCTCGACAGGTACCTTAAAAGCCGAGAACTAGTTTGTCGCTTCTGCTACGCTCTGACGTAAAGCAAAACGAAGGGCACACCATACCAGTCATCACGCAAAAAGCACAGCCCAGCTCGCGCATGTCCGTTGCTTCGGAAGGCGAGCGAGTCCTCTGTGCACCCTGTGTGCCGCACACACAAACGACGATGGTGCCCTCTTATGGTTTCCGTCCTTGACACCAGTCACGGCCAGGACTTGCCCAATGTTACTAGATTAACTCGGTTACGGAACTGCCTATAGATGCTGCTTGTACTAGCAGTATCCTAGTATCCCTGTCTACCCACCCATGGCTTGCCTCCCGTTGTTCGACGTGTCACCGTGTTTGGGAAACGGCTGCTGTGGTAACTGCAGCGCATTCTATGAAGTAGGTATGTTTCAAAACACAGCATATAGACAGCATTTCACCCTACTCTATGGAACACACAGTTTTAAAGCGCAGCTCTTAGGTGCCCATTTCCGTCTTGAGCAACATCGCCGTTGGTGTAACTGCGTGTTGCATTAGGAAACGTTTCCCATAATGACGTCACGAATGACTTCACTGCGCATTGCATTATGGATAAATTTATTGGAAAAGTTTCACCCACTAAATTTATCAGAAAAATTCCCCCCGAAATTTAGTGCAGTATGCCCTGTAAAATCATGGAGCATATTGTTTATTTACATTTTGTTAATTTCATAGATGCTAACTCATTTTTTACACCCTCTCAGCATGGTTTTCTTCAATTTCTTTCCTGCGAGAACCAACTTTTTTCATTCTTTATCGAGGATCCCAGGTTTATTGCGTGTTTCTTGATTTCTGCAAAGTATTCAATAAGGTTCCTCACAGGCCTTTACTTCTCAAACTTGATAAACTTAACCTCGACCCCATTGTGTCTTTCTGGATTAAAAGTTTCTTACAAATCTGATTTAGTTTGTCGCTGCTAACCAAGCTAAATCTCACCTCAGTCTAGTAACATCCGGTGTCCCACAAGGGTGTGTTTTAGGTCCTCTTTAGGGGCTAGCCATGTCCGTCTGCTGTCGGGTGCACGTGAGCACGTGCTCCTGTGCTCGTGTAGGGAAAAAAAAAATCCCAACTCCACGTGGTGAATGATGTTGATTGGGTCGAAGCCCTGGTGGTGCTTGTCTGCGTAGACGATGAGCCGCAGCATGCCGAGCCTTTCATTCGTTTTCATCCATGTCAGAAAGAGAATGTGTGGTATGGAACGTGGTTATATACGCATTTGAGCATTTGACCACAGCGTGACATGGATGAAAACAAACGAGAGGCTCGGCATGCTGCGGCTCAGTGTCTACGCAGACAAGCACCACCAAAGCTTCGCCCCAGTAAACGTCATTCACCACGTCGAGATGCGTCTCTTTTTTTTTTTTTTTTGTCTCTAATTTATATAAACTACTTTCCTCGGAAGTTTTCATCCTCTTTTAGCTTGTTTGCTGACGACTGTGTAATCTATCGCAAAATTACTGAGGAATCTGATGTTCTACTACTTCAAACAGATTTAGATGCAGTTTTGGAGTGATGTAACACATGGTCCATGACCAAATGGAAAGCAATGTGTGTAACTCTATGTAACACCTCACCACTGGCCTCGGTACCTCTCCCTTGCAACTTGTGACTTCCTACAAATATCTTGGTGTTTATATTCCATAGCATGTCGTGGAACGTTCGCATTAATCACATCTCTGCTAACGCCAACTCTATGCTTGGTTACTTAAAACGAAATTTCCCATTAGCCCCCATGTCATTAAAATTACTTTTATTTAAAACACTGGTACATTCAAAAGTTAAATGCGCTGAACCAATCTGGGATCCCGGTCACTCAACACTTGTATCTAACATTGAGGCCGTCCAAAATCGCGGTGCACGATTTATCTTTTGCAATTATCACCATACCGCAAGTGTCTCGTCTATGAGAACTAACTTGTCTCTGCCTCTTCTGTCTTTGTGTCACAAAGTTTCTCGCCTGTGTCTTTTTCACAAAATTTATTGCTCGCCTACTCTAAAAGATCATTTCTTCTTCCTCCCCCGCATATCTCTGCTTGCATTGACCATCAGTGCAAAGTAGGATTTCATCAGTGTCGTACTAATGCCTACATTGACTCTTTCATGCCTAGAACGTCTTCCGAGTGGAACCACCTTTCCGCATCTTTAGTGTCCATATCATTACCTGATTTGTTCAAAACTGCAGTAACCAATCATCTTTGTTGATACTAACCTTGACTGCGCATGTTTTACATTGTTTGTTTCTAATTTTGTTTTTTACTGAATTTTGTGCTGCATCTTGCCCCTCCCCTCTGTAATGCCCTAGTGGTCCTGAGGGTGATGAAATAAATAAGTGAATAGATAAATTGAAATGTAACTTATGTCTCTTTTTTTAACCATATGTAAGTGGGAGCTTGGGCTTTCAGGGAGTCGAGAGAGTGTCCTCTAGTCGTTTATATTCCCTTTTTATTTATATATGCAATTTTGGGCATCCCATAGAAATGGTTGGACATGAAATTTATTCGGTCCAGAAATCATCTACCCACTTCAACTGTATTTTTTGTTTTTATCCATGAAAAGTTCCCAAGTTGGCAAGATTTCATAGTTTATAACATGGTTTAATTCTTACTGACCGGAGGAGGCTCTTTCGATTTTCATGTTTTGCCTTCGCAGATACCACAGGCGACGATCTACTTTCTTCTCGATTTCAGAGGTGTCTTGCCTGGAAGCCAGTTACCCATCATGCTCATCATGCCCACTGAGCACTGTAAGTTGGTTGTCGCTAAACTCTCATAATAGTCACCTCTGTTGCAGTGCTTTCCACCTTGTCCCTTTGTACTGTCCCGCTGCTGCACTTTGGTCTTTGCAACAGAAAGCTTTTTCGAATCTATGTTTAAAAATTTGAGCATGCGCAATTACCCGAATGAGCTAAAAGATGATATTCCTACGTGCAGGGGTGCTTTTGTTACAATAAGAAAAAGTAGCACTATGAACTGCTGTGGCACATACTCTGACAAATAGACGAAAATGAAGAAAAATAATGAAAGTGTTTTCAAAAGGCTTGTTTTTGTCAAAGAAACTAGAGCAATCCCAAATGCGGTCTTGGAAGTTTTGCGCACTGTTCATACGCAAGCAGTTCTTACAAGATTTGGTTGTCGGAAGAAGGAGCAATGCTTTTGGCATCTGAAGCATGTATGTCTTGATAAGATAACATACTATATCTAATCTATAATGCACAGTGATGTGATTGCTGCGCCAATTGCGCCAAGGGGCTAACTCTGCTACGTCCTGCTACATTTCGCCAAAATATGGCTAATCTGCACCAAGCCTGCGCCAAAGGACCAATTTTGGTCGCCTTTCAAAAACGAAACTAAACTGAGAACCATAATTGAGCATGCGCGAGCTAGGTGGCACAAGACGCCACTCGACACAAAGTACCCTGCATCAATCGTCTATTCGGTCTTGCATGATTTTTCCCGCCATCTCGCGTTTTGCGCTCTCGTCGTCTCAGGAATCTCGTCTTGCGTCTTTTTTCTTTTTTTTTTAATTTTTTCTTAAGCGATAGACGCGGCCGTGTGCGGACACTCCGACGTTAGTGTGCCGGGTGCCAGACATGCCGTCATGCTGTGAAACAAAACCATGTTTTTGCGCGGCGAGAGTTACTTTGTGAGCTGAAGCGCACGCGCGACCACAGTCGCCATGGTCACGCGACGTCGTGTGTTGCCGTCCCCACGTCGCTGCAGATATGGCGCTTTCTAAACTGAAACGCATCGACATTCCTGCTCTTGTTTAAATCATATGCTGCTATAAAAATTCCTTTTTAACTCAATGACTGCTTGGTGAAGTTTTGATTCCTTAGGGTTCTCTCTGTGGGCTTTCTTTCGAGAGGGACCCCGGTACGTGAAAAATCTGCCCCGAAAGAAAGTTGATGACGAGAAGTGAGCTAAAGCAAAGAAGGCAATGTCTGCATGCTGAACCCGCACACCGCGCTTGTTTGTCTCGAATTCAGTCATTACACAAAGCACTCCAAGAACGTTTTGACCCTGATTCGCAATGTCTTGCATCGATACGCTCAGGTTCTTTTTTTCTGTGTGTTTAGCCTGCACCTCGCCTGCCGGCCTGGCATGCACGCGCCACTGGACTGTTTATTGTTGCATTTTGTATACTATTTTGGGAACCAGTTGGTGACGGAGCGGAGTGGCATGGTTTCGGTTTCAGTCGAACAGCCGTTGTCTTCGCTCGCGCGACGAAGCACGCCCAATAGCAAGCCTGCCGAAGTTGCCCTCACGTGCATGTGAACATGATTCCATGAGAGGCACGTGTGCTTACTTTTTATAAAAATCTGCCACGTCGGGAACCAGTAAAACGATAACAATTTTTTTATTTTTTTTAATTGCTTGGCAACGCTTACGGTGCTGTATACTTGTGGGATGTCTCATCAGCAAAAACACAAGCAGCGAGTGCCGCCCCAACACATCACATTACAACACAATACAAAGTGCCCTTCATTTGTCCAGCACTTAAAACAAATATTTATTTTTCTAAGATATATGCTCCAAAAGTCACTTTTTCTGCTCCGAAACACTGTTTTGGCTGCTCCAAAAGGTGCTCTAAAATGGCTTAGGCCAATCACATCACTGAATGCACCAAAATATATCCTAATTCTCTACATAAAAAGAGAAATTATTAATGTTGGGCGAGAAGCGTAAATTTCCTGCCTGCGGTGGCCGTCTGCTAACAATAGGTGTTCGATTTGCAAAAATAAATGGAAGTAGGTAAGAGCGAAGATGCAGACAGACACAGATCTCTGATAGCGTCATAGCAGACAATGTATTTTATCAAATGCGGCAAAGGCTTTTTTGGTGTAGCGCATGGCCAATTTTACAAATAAGACATTGAATGGACAGAAAACGAACGAGGTCTTTGACGGGCTATTTCAGCTAGATGTCAATTGCTGCTGCCATCTCGGCTGTTGCGTTTCCCAGAGCCTAACATTTGCAGATGGCCGCCTTAGGTGGCAAGTTCACGCTCTCATTGTTTTACTCTTTAGTCAGGTCAGCTCATTCCTTAAAATTTTGATGAACAAATGCACCACCTTCGACATCTTCTGTGTAAAATATTGGATGATGCATTAAGGAACCGATCTACGTTGTCTTTTCAAAAAAAAAATACCGACGATTCATTTGACTCGCGTGGTAGTTTATGCAGTTCGCTTGGGTTACAGCACAGTTGAAGAATTTGCGCTGCATGAATTGCTTTGATAACGTCTACTTACAGCAACGCCACTCAGTCGCCCTTTGAGTCCTAACATGCGTGGTAATGTCTCCTTTTCAGTCGATGGACAAGCTATCCAAGGGAACACCACGTGCCCAGTGATCGCCGGAGAGGACATATTCGGGTGCTGCTTCTGCAGCTTCACCACAAGCGACCCACGTAAACTGGTCGAACACCTGACGGACCTTGCGTGCAGACTGTTTGAGGGGTTTGAGTGCCATCCCTGCTCCAGGACCTTTCCCGACAGGTGGGCCTTCACGCGCCACCAGAGGATGCACACAGAAGGAGGTCCTTTCAAGTGTCCGCTTTGTCCCATAGAGTTTCGCTCCAGCCGTGACCTGACAATCCACATGGCAAAGCATGCTGGTGAAAAACCCCACAAGTGCATGGTTTGTCTGAAGGTGTTCGCTCGAAACTCAGACCTTGCAGACCACCTGCAGAGGCATGCAGAGGCAAAGCCTTACGAGTGCCCGCACTGTCCAAAGGCCTTCAAGAACAACTCTGGTCTGCGCCAGCACCAACGAACTCACACGAAGGAAAGGCCTTACAAGTGTGACCAGTGCCCAGTGTCAGCAGCCACGCAGTACCATCTCAGTGTTCACATCCGAACCCACACTGGTGAGAAACCCTACAAGTGCACAATTTGTCCAAAGGCATTCGCTCGGAACGCAGACCTTGTGATCCACCAGCAGGGGCACACAGATGCAAAGCCTTACGAGTGCGTGCACTGCCCAAAGGCCTTCAAGAACCACTATAGCCTGCGGCAGCACCTACGAACTCACACGGGAGAAAGGCCTTACAAGTGCGATCAGTGCCCTGTGTCAACAACCACGCTGTACCATCTCATTGTTCACATGCGTACCCACACTGGTGAAAAACCACACAAGTGCACGGTCTGTTCGAAAGCATTCGCCAAAAAGTCGGGCCTCAACATCCACTTGCGGATACACTCGGATGAAAAACCATACAAGTGCCTGCACTGCCCCAAGGCCTTCAAGGACCACTGTACCTTGCGTGACCACCTACGTATTCACACGGGAGAAAGGCCTTACAGGTGTGACCGGTGCCCTAGCTCGTTTGCTGCACGAAGCTCGCTGGTAACCCACATCCGTACGCACACTGGCGAAAAACCCTACAAGTGCACAATCTGTCCAAAGGCATTCACTCAAAACTCGGGGCTCAAGTCCCACTTGCGGTTTGCACACAAGATTAAAAGCCTTTCAAGTGCTGCACTGTTCCAGGGCCTTCAGGCACCACAATAGCCTGCACAAACACTACAAACTCACACGAGATAAAAGCCAAGCATGTAAGTAAAATAGTGTTCCAAGGCTTGCAGTTTGAGGAATCGTCTTGCAAGACGTGATTAGACGTGCGTGGGACGCCATGCTGCTTCCAGCGGTCCCAGTTGGACGGAGCATCCAGTTCAGAAGGACTGAAGGTGTGCATCCTTTTAAATCCAATTGTTCTTTAGCACCGTTTAATCTGGGGCAATGAAACGATACCCGAGCACTTTTTAAATTAATTATATTACGCTGGAGGATGATGACGTAGCTCCCTTTTGTGTCCAAAGACTATAACAAAGCAGAGGGAACATATAAACAAAAAGGGCGATGCAATACCTACCCCGCGGCGTTCCTTCATTGCTCATTTGGCAACGAGGGTAAAGCGGATGGCCCAGCTTCTACATAAACATTCTGAATTCTGGGAAGAAAATAATTTATAAATTTGGCTATTTTATGTTATAGAGCGGTTACCAATATTTACACCATATAAAAGCAAAGATATACATGGTATTCCAAGGTAAACATAAGCAAGTAATGGTGGAACTTTCTGTGGCCGAGATAACTTCCGGTTGACAAGCTTCTTTGTATGTTTCAATGAACACGAATGAGCAGCACGTCTCCTAAGTTTTTCTCGGCGGAAAATCGGAAAAGGTATGTCGAAAACCAAACGTAAGATAGTTTGGTGTGTGTTTCTGGACCATACGGCAGCCAAAAAAAAGCACCGTATCTCGTTTTATTTGGCGTCCGTGGCGAAAGTTACTTGGCTCTTCCCACTGATGTCAATGACAATTGTCATTGAGATCAGTGGCTCTGCTTGAGGACCCAGTGGAAACTTGTGTACATGCAAAACATTCAACGAAGTTAGGTGCCCACAAATCAACTGAGGCATGTATGTTCCTTGTTCTTCGTGCACAGAGGAGCGTGTGTGGGAACAGCATCGCTTCATACACTACTCAGTGTCGCCATGAGTGTTCGACCTGTCAGACGTAGTTGAAGGAGGCCGTGAATGATTGTGCCACTCGTGTTCGATCGTGCCCGGGAAAAAGCGGGCGGTGTGTTTTCGACGACAAGCGAAGATATCGTGATTGTGACAGCGTCGACCTACCACAGCGATACCGTGAATGATATTCACGTGGATACAGGTGCAGACGCGGACGTCGAAAGGCAATTTTAGATTGTAGAACCAAGGCGATATGGTAAGAAAACTAGTTTCGCGTCCGACTTGTTACGATCACGCGACGGTCCTGGGGACATATTTCATTTGCTTCAAGTGCCCTGTTTGGGCAGACGCACACAAGCACTTTGTGTTTCACGACGTGGGTGAGTAATAAAATAGGATGGTACCCATTCTGTTTCACGTCTTGCTTTAATTGTGTAGCGAGCAGACGCTTTATTGTATGCTGAAAAGAAAAGTGGCTCTCGAAGTTTCAGAAATTGACGTGTTTGAAATTAAAAATAAAATGAACCCCAGGTTCAGTTCTTGCTAAAAGATCCCTTCCATTCTGAAGCCTTCAGCTGACACAAACTCTCAAAGTTTGTTTTATTTTTAAGTTTGTCCATGGGTGGTGGTTGTAGTTTGCTCATGACTCACATAAACCATCCGTTCACGAGCTCGCATGCACACGAAATTTAACACGAGAAGTAATTCTGCTCTAAGATTTAAAAAAAGTGCTGTAAAAACATTTTATGCATTGGATATTTAATGCAGTGCCGAGGTGGTTTTAGGAAAATCTACAATCTGGCTAAAATAAAACATTACATCTCTGAGAATATTAATCTCGCAATCAATCTATTTCCGTAACAGCTCAAGTGTGATTCCTTCGCTGTCCAGAAGGGTCGAATGTGTGCATCTTTAATTTTAAGCGATCCTAGTGATAAGCGTGAAATCAACGCTTGTGTGACAGAGACTGTGCTCGACGGCCCCAGCGGAGGATGGGTGGAGAGGGTTGCGGCATGCAAACAGCGGGAGGGGGGTGGTGTCGCAATGGGCCATTGACCCTAGTGTTGTCACTGCACTGCATCTTTTATTTCACAGAGATCTGCCATAACAATGTTGCCCAATCAATTGCAAAGCATTACAGCACTTCAAGAAGACAGTAGAAGCAAAAAACGTAACAAAATGCTGATTTCATTGCAATATTTTGTCCAAGCATACGAAGGGACAGAGACGCAGCACTTCGGCATGTCAAGGAAGCTTTGATCATGCCACAAGACCGGCGAAACTTGCTTTCAATGAGCTGTGCCTTTTTTCTGCAATGCTGCGCTTTTGTAAGAATTTCTACATGTTCTCAAGGGTGGTAAATCTCGCCTTTTACACGAGGTTTTAAAAAACTTGTTCAGCGGATGACGACAAGAGAGTAGAAACCGTGTCTTCAACTCGCAGCCGCCAGCCTCTGCAACACTCCAAAAAGATGATTTTACTGCATGCAAAATGGCCCTCTGGCGAGTCGTATCACTTGACAACACAGAATGAAAAACGCTGAACGCGGGTAGGATTTAGAACGCCAAGGTACGAAACCTTTATTCTGGGTAAACTTGGGAACACAGCCATAAATATCTATACCCGTTTTCACTTTAAGAATAATAGTTTAAAAAAAAATGGCTGGCTTCTCGCGGAGCATTACCGATTTACCCCTTTATGTAGAGAATTAAGATATATGCAAGCTATGCAGGTGCACTGTTACGCCAAAACCATCGCTTTTTCCTCAGACAACCAAATCTCGCAAGAACTACTTCGCGGCGCGTATGAACTATGCGCAAAACTTGCTTTTTACGTACAACCTCAGTTAGCTGCAGGGGTAGTCCTCTTAGCACTCACGTGTCCTAAGGTGCGAAAGGACTTGGGAGCCGAGTTGGGGCAAGGTAAGAGGTGGAGAACAGTGGAGAATATATAGGAAAGGAGGAGAAGAGGCGACTGTATTCCTTGAAGGAACACAGTCGCCTCTTCTCTCCCGAGCTGGGCCACGTGAAGAACTACACTCACAAGGTGAAGGTCCGAAAATCAGTGCAGCCCATGCAGCATAAAATGTGTCCCATTCCATTGATGGCACGGAAGCCTGTGACCGAAGAAATCGAATGCCTTGAGGCAGCGAGAGTAATTGAGCGCATAAGTGCCTCAGAATGGGTTTCTTCCATTTTTGTGGTCCAGAAGAAAGATGGATCAATTCGGATGTGTGTGGACCTTTGGGGAGCTAATAAGGCTGTCGTTATTGACAGTTACCCTCTTCCTCATGCTGAGGAGCTTCTGAATGCGCTGCATGGTGCGAAACGTATCTCTAGATTGGACTTGGCGTCAGCTTACCATCAGGTCACACTTCACCCTGACAGCCGAGACTTAACCACGTTTATAACGCACAAAGGCTTATTCCGTTTCAAGAGAGTTTGTTTCGGTCTCGCTTCTGCTCCAGCTACCTTCCAGCAGATGATGGCAACGATTCTAGAAGGATGCAAAGGGGTCTTGTTTTACCTGGACGACGTCATAGTCTTTGGTAGGACTAGAGAACCCCTGAAGCGATTGCACCATGTCCTCCAGCGAATCGCTGATAGTGAACTCAAACTTAACAACAAGTATGTTTTTGACGTTGCCGAACTTTCATTTTTAGGCCATGATGTCAGCGGCGAAGGAATCGCCCCACTTAAACAAAAGATAGACGTCATCAACGCAGCTCCGATCCCAACAGACATTTTGCAACTCCGGTCATTTCTTGGGATGGTAGAATACTACAGCCGTTTTGTTCCTCGTCTAGCCGCAGAAGTAGAGCCCCTGCGCGAGTTTTTGAAAAGACATTCCATTCATTTGGTATACCGAAGCTGACACCAGCTTCAAGAAAATCAAAACAATGCTATCTTCAGCAAGGGTTCTGAAGATGTTTGACCCTAGTCTTCCCATAATCGTATCCACCGATGCGTCTGGATACGGGCTTGGTGCCATGCTCCAGCAGCGCAATGGGATCGTTCAGACCATCGCTTTCGCCTCTCGCACACTAACAGCAGCTGAGAGAAAGTATTCGGTGGGTGAAAGAGAAGCACTGGCTTGCCTGTGGGCATGTGAGCAGTGGTACAACTACCTGTGGGGCCGCCGTTTCACCTTTCGGACGGATCACCAAGCCTTAATGACGCTGCTAGCAACACAGGGTACAGGCCATCGACCCCTCCGAATTACGAGATGGTTGACCCGTCTCCTCTGCTACAACTTTCAAGTCGAGTTTCGACTCGGAGCAGAAAATCGAGTCGCCGACGCGCTTCCTCACCTCCCTAAGCCTGAGGATGAAGGCGGTACCGAATTTGACGAGGGAATAATTTCCTTCATTGCATTGCAGAACGAATGTATCACCAAGCTCCAACTTCAAGAAGCTACAGCCAATGACTCGGTCTTGTCTGCTGCCATGCAATACGTCACATCTGCGTGGCCTTCAAGACGGAACTTGTCTTCCGAATTCATCCCTTTCTATGACCTTAAAGATGACCTTGCCGTGGATGATGGCATTCTTTTAAGGGATGAGCGGTTCATGATCCCTCAGGAGTTGCAAGGTATTCTCATCGCAAAGGCGCACAAGGGCATACCGGGATCGTCAAAACCCGTACGAGGCTCCGAGAGCTCTACTGGTGGCCGAAAATGAACGCTCAAGCAAGTAGAGAACGTCATTCATGCTTGTGACATCTGCCAAGCAGCCGACAAAAGCGCAGACCTTTTCCACTCCGCTTCAACCAATGCCTTTCCCTGAGCGACCGTGGTCGAAGGTAGGAATCGACATCGTGGGCCCTTTTGAGCGTGCAGAACCATCATGCCACTACGCCATAACCCTGTTCAATATTTTTCAAAGTGGCCAGAAGTGCAGTTTTGTGCAGATGTCACCACCTCAAGGGTAACAGAATTTTTGCATCTGGTATTCTCCAGAGAAGGTTTACCAAAGAGCCTAGTGTCCGACAACGGTCCCATTTCTCAACAATTCAAAGATTTCTTAAGTTCTCGTGAAGTCAAACATCATCTGATTTCGGTCTACTACCCGCAAGCCAACGGGCAAGTTAAGCGTTTTAATAGAACACTCAAGGGTTTCATCTAGTGTGCATCGAGGGAGAAACTGCAGATAAAATCTGCTCTAGTGGGCATATATAGAAGTACACGTCATACGACAACAGGGCTATCTCCTGCTCTGCTACTTCATGGTCGCAAACCGCGAATGTGAATGAACGTTCTGGGACTTTCATTGTCAAGAGTTTCTTCATAACCTCTTCGAGGAAGTGCAGCGACTTCGTCGACGTGTTCGACTACAACAAGACAATAAGACCAAAGCCTACACCGACAGAAGGCGAAGAGCTAGCTAACACCGAAGTTCAAGGTCGGACAGCTAATCCAAGTGAAGAAGCCTGGATCTGTTCCGAAAGGTTTAGCAGTCCCTTCCGGATTGTCGAGCGTGTGGGCCGCTGGACATTTCGGCTAGAAGATGGCAGAATATGGAATGTCTCAAAGCTAGCGGCAGTTCCAGGACCGGCTTCCTCTGGTTTGGACCCAAGGAACCCGGTACCAACAGAGAAGTTTAGTCAAAGGTCAGCTGACCATCACCAATGGCAACCACCATCTGCACCATTAAGCTGGCGGAGCCAGCATGACCAGCAGACACCACGTACATCAGCTGGTTCTGCCATACAGACAACTGACGTGGTCAGCTTCTCAGCCGTCATCGCCAACTGGGAACCGACCTCTATCGGTACCTCCACCAGGTCCAGCGGGAGATGTGCCGTGGCCAGATCGACCACGGCGGGAACGACGACCGCCAGTGCGGTTTGGGGACTATGTCTCAAGATGAAAAACTTTTGGACTTTGTATATGAACATTTCTATTTCTCTTATTTATTTTCGATTTTCTCCGTGAATCTTTCTCTTATACTTCCTCTTTATTTTTAACCTGTTTAATTGTTTTGTTTAGGCTTTGTCTTCCTTTCAATTACTTTCTTAAAATGGGAGGGGGAAAATGTTGTATCTTCTACCTAATTACTTTCCGGTCACTTCGTCTTCTTCTGTCCTTTGCCTTTTCTACTTCCTCTTCTTTACCAAAAAGGTTAAAGATAGACCCTCGTGCATCTGCGCTCAAGTGTGGTCGTTCCATTCCGAGTGTCCAGACGCCACAGTCTGGCTGGTCTGGCTTTAAACACTTTAAACTTTCAGTTGAAAGTTCGAAAACATCGTATCTGATCGGACTCAAACCGCCAGATTTGAAACACCCCTACACACTAGGTAGATGGCGCTACCGGCCGCCCGATGCCGATATGTAAATTGAATACAACCTTTTTTTTTTTTTTTCAAACTTTGTTTTAACACATTTGACATGTTTTTGAGTGGTAAATTTTTTAAGGTTTATTTATTTGGGTTCTTAACTTCTTGCTACTATTATGGTTGCTTTGTTGGCTTTTGTTTGCCTATCCATCATCACCTCTTGCGACAAAATGGCAGCGCCCATGTGTTTTTGTGTCTGATTTCGGTCCAGCGAAGCCACACGGCTCTGAGCGAAGCGAGCGAAGCTGCCTACACGTAACGTTGCTACACGTACTACAACCTCGTCGACGTACTAGCACCCCTAGCACACTGGTCCGGTGCCGTTTTCAGCGGTCGTGTGAGTATGGCGCGTTCTTCACTCTCTTTCCCAGGCGGCGAACAAGCGCGTCTTAATGGCGATCGAACACTGGGCTGTGAGTTTGTAAACATTAAAAAACAGTCGCAGGGCGCCTCCTCCGAATGCCCGGCATTCTGCACGCGCTCCTTGTCCAACTTGCCCAAAGACTTTCAGTTGGTCCAAAGACTTTCAGTTGTCCCCCCTCCAGCGCGAGCTGTTGATAACGTACAGTCCTTCAAGCGGGCAGGCACGCGCAGCACTGACGAGATGAAAACGGGCGCACACGTTGATTGCCTACGCCACGCGTGGCTAGCAGGAGCGCCGCGGTCGCCTCTGGTTTTGCCAGCTCCGCGTTTCACCCTGACGCATGTTCATGGACTAGCAGTTGCGACCTCGATCCGCGCGTGGGCGCAGTCAGGAAAAGTTGTAGCTTTTAAAGAGGGGCGACACTTTTGTTCGGGGCTTCAGGTATGGCAGGGAGCCGAGCCAGGGCAGGACCTCCTCAGGACGCAGGAATTGGGAAGGACAAGGGAGCAGGACTCGTATAAATCGGTTTATTTTCATATTGACAGGTTCAACTTGAGAACACACGCTAGCAGCCGCATTTCCCCATATCCCTAGCAGGGAACCCCATGGTCAATGCCTCAATCAAAGCAGGTGCGGCCATTGTTCCTAACGTCTTGGCACGCCCCTCTCCTCTCCCTCACACACTGGCACTCTCGTCACGCACACCGAGGGGTCAGACGTCTTTGGTTACTGTGTCGCCGGTCAATCTCATCGGTCAACGGCACCAGGATGGGAGCAGAGAGATAGTTGTCACCAAGTGGAGGTGTCTTGGTTTCCGTGCGGTAATAGTAATCCCAGTTTTCGCTTCAAGAAACTGGGAGAAGCTTGGGCAGTCGGCAATGTTCACTTAGATCCCGCCATAGCTAGCTAGGCACATTTATGTCAAGGTCTTCACTGATCCGAACACTATGATTACTAAAAATGTGCTATCTTTCAATGTTAAAAAAAAAAAAAAAAAAAAATTAAGCCAAAAATAGGAGTGGGTTACCCTTCGGGCGTGGTGCATTTCTCGGGATTTTACAGTATTTGTAACACATTTAAGGACTTGTAGGTTTTAAGTTGTTCTCAGGTGTGTGAGCCAGGCAGCTCAAATAGGTAGTCATGAAGATGCACCCATGATACCTTCAGCAGATTTGTAATTTTTTTGACGAACAAGTTCTCAATCTTCTCATGCTAGGAATCGGGAAAGCATGTTGATCCAGTATAAGTAAATTTGCGGAGGTACCGCAGTTGGTCCTCCGTGGTCAGACTTTTAAAATATGCGCTACTCACTGGGGGTCCTCAAAAACAAGCAAAAACAATGGCCAACCGGAAGCAACATGCTCCACCCTGAAGTTTGGCCATGCTTCGCTTTCGTTTGAATACCCTGTATGTTATTGCTGTAAACGCTTATGACAAGATCAAGAAAGCAATGTATTCATCACTCTTCCTATGTATTCTTTCAATGCAAACCTTTCTAATTTACTTTATTTACCTAAATGTAAACAATACAGTTAAACCCGTTTATAACGAACAGCAGGAAACGCTACAATCAGTTTGATATAGCATGTTTTTCGATATAGCAAAAACCATTTACAACAAACTTCCACGATGAGTTTGTTATACATGGGTGCTATTGAACCCGTTGTTATTGAACACATTGCTCTTGAATCTAAAATGCGATAGGCTTATTGCCTCTTCGGGCGTCGCATGTCAAGCCCCAAGTGAGCATGCAAAGTAAAAAAGTGGGGAAAATTTTTTTTTTTTTTTTTTTGTTTTTGGTCAAGTTGAAGTGGCTTTAGGTGAAACGGTGCGAAGAGCGAGGAGGCGAGAGCTTCCCTTTGTTTCTTATCTCATCGCTTCCGCCTTGGAACAACGCGCTAGAAAAACATTTTTTGGTCTTTGTGCATGCATGCAGTTTTTTTGTTGTTTTTTTTAGCTTATCCCCTTTTTTCTAATTGCTTGCTTCGTAAACAAACGCTCTGCGCTGAATATTTTTTTTTTGTGTGCCTTTTTGGAATTTGTTTTCTTTGCTAATTTTTGTTTGCAGCTTGAGCTTTTGGAATTTTCTTTCTTTCCTACTTTTTTTAGGGGGAAGGAATTGACTAGAAGATGATTGTTTGCACGTTTTTGAAAGCCTAACTAGGGGGGAAAAGTTTGATATAGCCAATATGTTGTTCGTTATAAAAAGTACTTTTTACGTGCATTTTTTTTTAAATTTTCCATGAGTTCGACATCGATAATAATTCGCTGTACGTGGGTTCGTTCTAAACAGGTTTCACTGTATATACTTTTTTGTTATTGTTATTGCTGTACACGCTTATGACAAGGTCAAGAAAAAAATGTATTCATCACTCTTCCTATGTATTCTTTCAACACAAAATTTTCTGGTTTACTTTATTTACCTAAATGTAAACAATATATACTTTTTTTTATTTATTAATTTTTTTTATTTGGGGGGAGGAGGAGGAGATTTGATGCTGTCTCTGATTTGCTCTGATAATGCAGCTGATTGAATGTCATGAAGTCTTCCAATGAATCACCTTCTCCCTGTGTTTGGGTGTCATATTGTGCTCTTTCAAAGGTTATGTAGCATCTCGCAAAGAGGTAGGTTTCATATTGAGCAAACACAACTTGGAACTTCTTGCCATTTTTAGGACTTCATATCTTCCGTTTGTGTTCCCAGGCATGTCAAATTACTCTTGGAGGGGGAGTGGGGGGTGAGAGGGGAGGGGAGGTGAGGTGAGGTGAGGGAAGGGAAGGGAAGGGAAGGGAGGGGAGGGGAGGGAGGGAGGGAGGGAGGGAGGGAGGGAGGGATTGGTGGCTGTGTGTGTGAACTCGCTGCAGATCGGAGGAGATTGAGCAAAAGCCCGTGCTGCAAAACCCAGGGCTCCTGGGTTCTGACCCCACTGCTACCCGTTTTGATCTGGATGAGCATATTATACGGGTGTGTGTCCATGTAATCAGCTTTGCATAATGCATGCTAAAGACTCCAGGCTAACAGTCGTGATGCACTTTCTAAATTTCTCATCTACAGCGAAGAGGCAGGACACCTTTTGGGGATGGTCAACTTCCCCGCTGTCTAAACAAAACAAAATTACTTTTTCCTTGCGCTTGGCTTCTGCATGCCATCCAAAGAATGTGTGACACTGAAAAAAATGTTCCTTCTTGCGGGCACGGTGAATGCAAAGGCTTGGGTGGAGTATTTAGAATGAACTTGTATTCTTGATGTTTAATTGTGTACCTTGATCGTGGGTGGAAGAACTCGAGGAGGATAACAACGGCAAGAAGTTAACTATCTCACACAAAGACAACAGCGTCTCATCGCTATGCAGCTGAATTCTTCTGAATCGTCTGCAAAGCCTGACACAGGGCGTGATTACAACTTATGTTTCGTTAAAAACAAAGAAACCATTCTAGGGAGAAAAGATTGAAATATAATTTGTGTTTTTGCTGGATTATATAAATGAGAGTTTTTACGCTCCGAGAGAGTCGAGGTATTTTATTACAACTGTTTCTACAACCATTCCTTAGTTTATAGGCGTTTCGGGCGAATCCACCAAAGGTCCGTCAGGCATAAAAATCCTCCGTCAAGACATAAGCTACCATTTGATTCGTTTCTTATTCATCAAGAGTTGTCAAGTTGTCCAGATATAGTAATTTATGACACAATCTATTTTTTAACTATTTAGGGGGGCACTCTCAGTATTCATAAGTCTTGCCCCGACAGAAACCAGAAGCGACAATGTGCCTTGTCCTCCATTTCAGAATAGACATGGCTGGAAGCAAGTTACCCATTGGGCTCATCGTGCCCACCGAACATTGTAAGTTGGTCGTCACTAAACTCGAACCTTGTAAGGGGGCACTCGCCACTTCTTCCTTTGTTCTGTCCCTCTCCTATGCTTTAATCTTTGTCGCACGAAACGGTGTTAGGTTGCAGATGGTGCTCTGCGTGATTGATCGAGCTACCCTGCATTCTGTGCTTTTATACATTCTGTTGCAGGCTAAGAATAGCTGGACTAGCTCTTTCCACTTTAGCAGAGCAAACGCTAGAGAGGGAGAAAGTGGAGAGGAGGAAACCCTCAATCACGGCAAGCAGAGAGCTCTGTGAGAGTGGCTCAATTGTCCTGCTAGTCTTAACCTTTAACACTCTTTGGTGTTTGTTTACACCGAGAGATTACTTTATTGAAACCTCTGAAATGATTCCTTCTACGGTGCCAATGACCAGTGAACCAAGTTCTATGCAAAGCGTACTATAATTTTACACCAAGATGCAACCAGGTGGAGAACCAATGTTTTCAATTTCAAGCATGTGCAACTACCTAAACGAGTTAGAAGAAGAAAAAAAAAATTATATTCCTATACTCTGAAAGGTTACCTTGGCCAAATTGAAAAATCATCATTACATACTGCTGTGGCACATACACTGAAAAGTATCAATGATAATGATGTGAGACAAGGCAGATTTTACGTTCCCAAAGTCTGGCTGTTGTCAAAGAAACTTTAGAACAACACCGAAATGCTTTCTTGTTCATATGGGAGAGAAGGTTTGTGGTACACCTGACCATGCAGAAGTAACATCTGTATGTTCGCGTGCATTCGTTTGCATGTAAACTTTTAAGACGTTCCCACCGTCTACTAACAACTTTGGGGAAATCTACAGCCTACAAAGTCGCTAAGCTACTGTGCGAATCAAATGAATTGTCGACCCTTCAAAAAAAAAAAAAAAAACTAAAAAGAAAAAAAAAAGTTTGAACAGTCTGGTTGGGACACACAATTAAAAGAAATTAGAATCAAGCAAAATAAAAAAGATTTTAAGATCAATATTGAGGGCGCGAGGCGCGATTTAGTTGGCAGTCACCTCCTTTTCACTTGTTTTCTCTCAGCATTTCGGACGCGTGGAGGAGAGGTGGATTGGCTTCGTCTTCACGACCAAGATGGTCTGACATCATGGACTTTGCGTGCAGAATTTCAAATAAAGCTTTCGCCATCAATATTGCTCTTAAAATAATTTTTTTTTTGTTTTCACGTAATATTTATTTTTTCACACATTTGTCCTACCCAAACTATTTGAAAAAAAAAAAATGTTTTTCTTTTCAGGGTTTTTTTAATGGTTCGCACAGTAATGCTTTCTTACGTTACATATAAGTCACTAAAACATTTGTGTCTTGAATGTCACGTTCCAGGCTATCTCATTGAACTGGTAGCCATACTTAGAACGAAGCACAGACTGTACATAAGCTTTTGTAACAAAACACAAGAAAACCGGGCCGTGTGAACAGACCTTGAGAGGATCGCGAAAGTCTGTCCTTTCATTGCACTATCATTTTGTACGGGCTACGGGGGTGCCCAAAGACGGTGCATTTTGTGTATACAAATTTTAAAGAATTAACTTACCTGAGTAATTAACGCAAAATGAAGCGTGTGAATTCACTACCTACGGCGACCATTTGCCAAAAGGCGTCTGATTAGTCAATAAATTGAAGCAAGTAGGAGTGACGTTGAAAAAACTGATCCCCAATAGCGGATAGCGATTTTAAGTCAAATGCGGTGCGGGCTTTTTCGATTTCGATTTTTGTCATTTTTAATGCACTCGCAACGAAAAGGATTTTTGTCGGGCTATTTCAACTGTATGCCACCTGCTGCCTCAATCTCACGTCTATTTGATCACCCAGACGTCTAACATTTGCAGACAGCCGCCGTAGGTAGTAGCAAATTTGAACTCTTATTGTTTTACCCTTTACGTTGGTCAGCTCACTCTTTGGAATTTTGAAGCACAAAATGAACCGTCTTTTGGCACCTCTGTACGAAATCTTAGCTCAGTGGTTTAAGAAACAAACATTTATCCAGTCCTTTCAAAGGACCAATGATTAACTTGACTCGCACAGCAGTGTATCTGGTCTGCTCGGGTGACCACTCAATTAAAACTTAGTGCTTCATGAATTGCCGTTGCGTCTACCTACAACAATGCCACTCAGTTGCGCTTTGCGTCCCAGTGTGCGTGAGAATGCCTCCTTTTCAGTTGACGGACAGGCGACCCAAGGGAACACCACATGCCCAGTGATCGCCGGAGAGGACAAGTTTGGGTGCTGCTTCTGCATCCTCACCACCGCCAACCCGCGTAAACTGGTTGGACACCTGACGGACCTCGCTTGCCAACCGTTTGAGAGGTTTGAGTGCCAGCCCTGCTCGAAGACCTTTCCCAACAGGTGTGCCTTCACGAGACACCAGAGGATGCACGCAGAGGGAAGACCGTTCAAGTGTCCACACTGTACTGCAGTGTTCCGCTTCAACCATGACCTGGCAGTTCACAAGGTAAAGCACGCCGGTGAAAAACCCTGCAAGTGCACAATCTGTCCGAAGGTGTTCGCTCGAAGCTCGGACCTTGCGGACCACCTTCAGGCGCACACAGATGAAAAGCCTTACGGGTGCCTGGATTGCCCCGAGGCCTCCAAGAACCACACCAACCTGTGCCAGCATCTACGAACTCGCACGAGAAAGAAGCTTTACGGGGGACATCTGTGCCCTGTGTCAAGAACTAAGCCGTGCCACCTCATTGTTTATGGCCGTACCGGCACTGGTGAAAACCACACAAGTGCACAATCTGTGTGAAGGCATTCTCCGAAGTGTCGGTTCTCAGGAACCACTTGCGGGTACACTCTAGGGAGGACGTTGGAAACTTTCGTCGAACTGTGGATTCGACTTCGACATCAAACTTCGAGGGCCGCTTGACTGGTTTGGCGAATTTTCAAACTTTTAGCAAAGTTCAACGTATGGACAGTGGTGCCCGAATTCTACACACACATTAAAAGTATTGCTAATATAAAAGCAAATTTTTGTATTTTTAACGCCTTGATATTTTTTTATTGAAACAATAAAAGATATACCGAACAAATAATTCATTTTTCTTCTGCTCAGTAGTTGTAAAATTTAAGTTCAGTCGCACTTCCTTTGAACTTCGAGTTAAAAGTCCGAAAACGTCGAACCTGGTAGAAGATTACTTCAGTCAAGATCGGTGAGTGTAGTTCACCTTTTTAAAATTATCATGAAGGCATTTTCCAGCCAACCAACCCACTGATCTCCACTATACACGTTTGCAAGTCTGACTTCAGGGCGCTGCCATCTTGCTCGGCTGGGGTGCGCTTGGACGAGTCATAATCTGATTACGAAGCCTTGCTAAGGCGTCGTAATCGGATTATGGCCGCGACCAAAAGCGTACCCCACTGAGGAAGATGGTGGCGCCCTGAGACCGGACTTGCAAATGTGTATAGGGGGCTGGATGGCGCATAGCTGTTCTCCGAGCCTGGCGCAAGTGAAGCTACCGGAAGTTCGATGCTTGTCCCGGAAGTCAGGCGTGTGCTGGGCTTCCTAGTGCATTCAGTCAATGTTTTTGTTCATGCTTTCTTGTGTCTTTGATTGGGTTCTAATACTCCCGTTCCGAATTAAATCCCGAGAACAAGGCATTTGAACGTGAGACATGCGCACGTTTGATCAACTAGAATCTCAAACTTTTCACATCGAATGGCTTCCCAGGAGACTTCTTGGGTCCACATGCGCTGTTACTCCACAACAAGCAGGCTCTCTTGGGATGACAAGAAAAAATCCAGCGCCCTGAACGCTGTTCGATTCAGCCAGCCCTCGGAAGAGTTGAAAATCCTGTCAGGCGCTTACTTCCGGGACAAGCCGCTTACTTCCGGTGGCTTCACACCTGTCTGCTCACTGATCTCTATGTCTATCAGTGGTCTGGTGGTCTGCTCAATACGCCATCCAGCCCCTCTAGTGGAGATCAGTGAACCAACCCCAAGAATCGAAACATCCGTGCACTACACAGGTAGATGGCGCGCTAGGCCGCCCGGCTTAATGGAGTATATTTTTTTCTTAAACAATGTATTTTTTTCTATTTCATCTGTAATTTATTAAATTTTCTGGTTGGTGGTTTTCTTTTAATGTTTTTTTTTATTACCTTGTTATTAATATCATTGCTGCTTTTGTCCGTCTATCCGACAAGCGTTTCGGGGCAGTAAAACTGGAAACGCCGATTGGCTGAAAAAAAATGACGTCACTTCCGGTTTTGTTATTTTGTTGATTTTTAGATAACGTTTTAAAGTAAAAATATATTAAAAGGTACTTTTCTTGTTTTTGTTTGTTTTTACTTTTTTTTTTTTTATTTTCCTTGCTTGATTCTTTAATTTTGGCTGGTACGGTTCCGTTCTGTTCCGCCTTGGCGCCCTCGGCCGCGGGGGCAATGTTTTTGTTTTCGTTCTACGTTCAGGTGTTGGGTGGCGACGTATTAACCGTCGATAACCAGCTGAAGCAGCTCAAGCTCAAGTTCTCGAGTGGAACGAGGTTGACCGTGCGCAGTGGCAGCCGTTGACAACAAAAACAATGTATGCACTCAGCTTCGCCGGATGAGTGCCGGCGTCGATCGCGAACCGCCAGAGTCGCCAAATACCTCTCGTACATCTCCAAGAACACCAAGAACAGGAGGTATTCATAAAGGTGAGTGTTCACCGCACTTTAGTGCTTCAGTTCCGTTTGGAGTCGTTTGACATAATTTAGTCCGGTGCGTCCGGGAACAAAGGCGCTACCAGAAATGGCGGGAATGGTCGGTCGGTGCTGAATGCTGATGCCATCCAAGCGGATTTGAATTGGGTTTCGTGCGCTCAACGTGTCGATTTGTTTCTTGAGCTGCCTTTACCAACCGCTCGCCCGAAATCGTTCGGTAGAACATGCGGACGTGACGGCTAGCAGAGCCCTCCGCAAAGGCTTAGGAGCGCGCTCACAATTTTGGAAGCTTCCGTATGACCGCAAGTGCTCAATAAGTCGCTATAGCAATGATTGCATGCCATCGACACAGACTTCGATCCAGTTTTTCAACGAGACAGGAAGGCCCAACGAAGCAAGCGTAGAATCTGATGCTTCGCCTGTCACTGTCTGCGCGGGAACACGCCGAGAGGCGCTTAAACGAGCTGCCAGGGCGTAATTAAAAAAAAAAAAAAAAATCTAACGCAGGTCTGAACCACGCGAGGATCGTCTCGAAGCATGGTAGCCTCAACAGACGCTTGCCGCCACACGCGAGGAGAAAGCAGGAGGCCCGAAGTTTGAATGTGAAGGTAAAACGTGCTTTAATAATAATGATCTTTATCTGCACGTTCCTTTGTATGACTAAGGTGATCGTGCTGAGACACAATATAGCAGCGATTGCTCTCGAACAAAGGACAGGACAGCAGAAAGGCAATGAGAGGCAGGGAGATAACTGACCTCTCTGTTGTAAAACAGTTTTCAGAGGAGGTGCGAAGAGCTGGCCCTCACTTTTTCAAGGCAGCCGCAGAACACTACGAGCCCCGAATCACTGCCGCGGCTGACTCACGCGGATGCTGTGCTGCACCCTGCACTGCACATGGTTCGAAGCACACTTCAGGGGACCAGTGCATGCCCCTGATGCATCGTCGCGGTATGTTTTGTACTGCTTTTCCTAGCGGTGCACTGAGCAGTCCAATCTTGAAGGGAGCACGCGAGTGCGTAGCCAGTGCTCCATGCAGCGAGGACCGCAAGCACCCGCGGAAGCTTGGAGCACACGCAGTGACGCCAGCAGCCGTGCACGCTGGCGTCGTCTGCTACTGTACCGTCCTTTCGTTCGGTGCGCAGAAAAAAAAAGGAGTGACCGCTCTGTTAAAAGTCTGATGGTGAAGGCATCCTTTACAGAAGCACTGTATGGCTCTCTGCACGCTAGAATGGGGGCTGTCGTTGATGCTCGCAGAGGCGTCGCCCACAACTAAGCAGACGACCAAAGTCCTGAGCAGGTGACTAATCGTTTCATTGTTCTTTGGTAGGGAAAGGTAGATAATGTGCTTCTACTCCCAGCTTTTTTTTTTTTTTTATCACCATTTAGTATGTTATTATCAAAACAGCATCCTGGTGTTCACATAAATATGTGTTAACAATACCTATCGTCAAATATGTGACCTAAAGAGCCAACTGCGGCCGAGGATATCTTTTAAGTGTTCTTTTTCTCACAAAGATCCCTGGCATTGACTTTTTAGCCACATACCTTGAGTCCACAAAAACAATGTGCTTCAGCTAAATGGTATTCACACAAAATACATCCTGACAAGCTGCTTTCACTCTCGAGCCTCGAAGAAATTTTGCAGTTTGATTTGAACTATGTTGCAGGTTAAGGAGGTAGGGTCAGGGAAAAGAAGGTGGGAGAGGAGGAAGTGGGCACAATGCTGGTCAAACCCTCTCCCTTCGCCGGCGTTGCATCCATCTCCTCCTCTCCCACCTTCCTTTTTCTTCCCCTACCTTCTTGAGTTGTCACCGACCATATAAAAGGCATGCATTGATATCACTTGTTCGTTTTGTGGCCATGGCGCCAGCAAGGTTTGAGAAACGTATCCTGCTTCACAGGAATTCAGCACTCAACATGGAGAAACTATTGGCAGTGCTGCTGTAATGTCTTTGTCCTCGTCTTTTGCAGCCATCTAAAAAAGAGAAATATAATACTAGGAACACAGAGCAACGTCACGCGCCAGTACATAGTGTACTACGAAGGGCAGGTAAATTGACTGCGGAACACGATTTTCTCAATGTCCTCACGGTTCTTTCGGCCAAGTACATACAGATAAGACGATTACCATTAGAAATGTTGAACGCCAATCCGAAATGTTTTTTGGTGGTGTGCCGAGCAAAAGGACATTGCTGCAACAGAAAACATGTGCCATCCTCCGCCTTTGGTGCTTCTGTGTCTGCGCCGAGCTTCCGCAGCCACCAACAGTCAACGCTGCATGGACTGCCCGCCATGCTTTCATGCGTTCCATGTATGATTGGCACGGCATGTGGATGTGTCATGCAAGTGACATCAGCGCTGTTGGCAGTGCCATGCTGGTTGAGCTTTGCTAGGCTCTGACCATTGACAAGCTGTTTTATGCAATAATCGCTCTTGGAAGTCCCCAAACTGTTTTTAGCAATTCAAGTGTCAGATTTTTTTTAGCTATGGTTATACAGGTTTTCTTTTTTAACATTTACAGATTTCAAAGAAAAAGTGAAAGTTATGACAGTTATAAGTTATACGGCCAGGCGGACATTAGATTCATGGAAGAATGCAGCTAAAAGTCCGTGTAGATCATGTGTATCATGCTTCTCTGCAGCGCAGCTACATACTTGCGTAGGACCACCCCCATGAAGTGGGGTGGGGGGGCTGCATGCGTGTGTTGGGTAGCCCCTCTTGGTTTTACAACTCTACCCTGTTGTAAAATTTTAGATTTTAATGCGAACAAGTTGATAACAAAAAAGAACTTGGTCAACATTGATCTTACAACTCGAGATGTAAAAGGAACAAAAATAGAGAACAGCAAAATGTGGAAGAAGACATCTCGCTTCTTTCATTTTCATTTCACTAAGTGACATTGGTCGGCGACTGTAAGACTTTTAATCACAATAGTTATACACCACAGGTCCCGGGGATCATGGCATCGATGAGCTCGCTTTCGCCTTGTCCAAGGTAGCAGCGGAACACTACGGGCAGGCCCGGAGTCACCGCACCGGCTGGCTCACGGGCGTCGTCCTGTACTCTGCACGGCACTGCGTGTGGCTTAACCAGCCAAGCAGAGGGTCACTGCATGACCTTTATGAGGCGTCGCTAGCCATTGTAAGTATATTTTGGACGCTCGTGTCAGGGAATGTACTTTTGTGTTCTACAACAGAACATGTTTGGTGGCGGTTCAGTCTTGCCAATTCAGCCATTTCGAAACATAATTTTGTGGCGACTTGGCTTAGGTTTTCTGGCTCGGCCGTCTTTTGCACCAGTGTCTAGGCTCGGCGTAAGCCTCTTAGTTCTTTATTGTCAAGGCTAGTGTAATTTCTGCTACGCCGTCGAAGCAACTTCTGCATGCGAAC